CTAACAGAGGCACTCAAATTCATCTTTTACCCTCAAAGTAAGGGATTATTTTATCAGGTTTTCACCTCTTTTTTAACATTATTGTAATAGGCCTATGAAAATATTTTCTCATTTCTGTTCGCAATCTTGAATATGATCTCCCATACATGTGATAGCTGGAGCGCTAGATTGTTTCGGTTGCAGCTTATGTAGACGTCAGAAAGGAACTTCAAGCAGCTCACTAGTTGGCGATAAATACCGTAGCAATGACTGAAGGAGAATGTGGATAGAGACATCAGCCAATGCTCTGATGTGACTCCAAGTGGCAGGTCTGTAACTGACCAAGTACATGCTAATGAGTGACCTCTCAGCTGAGGCCGAGTCCACATACATTGAGGAACAGTTTCTTTCTCGTGTTGCACTGGGGCACTTTGGGCCCAACTGTAAATTGTTTGTTTTTTAGTACCTTTTCAATTTTGTTGGAATACAAGTTGTATACTTTAATATGTTTATGTAAAACCACATTCATTCTTTTAAGCTTTGAAGTTTGGGTGACCAAGATAATCCATGTTCCAGGAACGTCGTACTGTGTATCGTTTGTGTTTCAACATTAAGCACCTGGCACTGAATGAGGTTTGATGAAGAGCGAGTTACATATTGGTATATGAATTGCATGAAATGCAGTGACGTCTCAAATATATTGCTAAATACCAAGTAATAACTATGCATAATTTAAAATGCATTGTTCCCTAAAAAAAGAAATGAAATGAGCACTGAATATTAAAAAGGACAGGCACGTTGTCATTGTACAGTGTATTTGTTTGAGGGAATTGATCAAAACAAATTTGCCAATATTCAGATAAAAAGCCCTGTAAAGTATTTTGATATTTTTGTGTGTAAAATTAAAAGGACAGATTAAGACAATTTTTTGTCAATAAATGTATTTTACTGAGTTGTTTTACATTTTCTCTCTTGGGTGTTGAATGACTTAACTGCCAGTAGTCTGTCTTTGAACTCATGGATGGATCAATGAATGGGCCGACCAGGCACAGGGCCCCCCTACACCTGACAACTGTGAAGGGACTTGGAAGCCAAATGACCACACAATGAGGAAAAAAGATGCAAAACAACAATTAAAAAACAAAATTACTAAAATGATACAGTGGAGACCCTAGAGACAGCCAAACAACCACAAAATTACACTAGACCACAAAAAGAGACACCAAACGACTACAAAGAGATATTAAAAAAGTTTTTTAAATAAAATGGTCTGTATTTATATAGCGCTTTTATGCACTGGCCAAAGCGCTTTACAGGGAGATTATACACCATTCACACACACGACGACAAGGCTGCCACACAACGGCGCTAGTCAAGCCACCGGGAGCAATTTGGGGGTCAGTGTCTTGCTCAGGGAGACTTAGGCATGTGGGGAGACCGGGAGTCAAACCACCGACTTGCTGGTCAGAAGACGACTTGCCCTACCTCGTGAGCCACAGCCACTACACAAATAGCCACAAAACAAGTAAGAAATTGGTGCAAAATTACAATGAGATGAAAATTGAGTAAAATTTCCACAAAATGGCTACAAACATTCAAAACTAGTACAAAGGGGCACAAAACAGCCACAAGAAGATACAAACTGACAACAAAACGTGGTTGCTCAAACTGAGTCCTGCGCCTGACGTGGAGCACAGCT